AAAATTATATTGGGCCCTTAATCTATTGTTGAGACTTTTTAAAGTTAAAATGTATTGAGCTCTTTCCATGAGTTAACTTATTTCAATGACACAACTTGATGAGGTAGGCACCCTCACTATGGACCATTATACAACAGGAGAAAGAAGGTAAGGGTGTTAAAAAAAAACCTTGCCCAAGATCATGCGGTTAGCACGGAGTAGAGCCAGGACTGGAGCCCAGACAGACGGGTCCCGAGGCCCACACTCTCACCCCTGCACTACCTCCACATCACGTATTCCGCCTGCTGGATAGCTACGAGTCCCCCAGGAACACACTTCCATTAGAGATTCAGCCTGGGAATTAGGAAAACTGAATCCCTGTACTGTGCTTTAACTACTTGGGAGGGAAGAACATTCGAGGTAGAGAAAATGCTGGGCGAAGGCCTAAGGGCCATTGGGAAGTAGAAAGCAGGCGGCTGTTAGGGGCAGTGGGAAGGCACTGCAGCGCTGCAAGCTGGGGGAAGGAGGGGATTAGCTGTACCATGATCACAAAGATACAATACCGATATCACGTTGGCTGCCTAAAAGAGAGCAAAAGTGGATTCAGGAAGATTTGTTAGGAGGCTACTGAGAAAATCCAGGTAAGAGGTGGGTAGCTTGGGCTAGGGTGTGGGTATAAACTGTGTGTGTATGTGGTGGGGGGGGGAAGGGGGGATGGAGGCTGGAAAAAAGGTATCTTCTTGATTGAAACTGAGTCTGATTAGATTATGTATAGAGGCTTTAACAAAACATTCCAGAAACTTACTTACAAATAAGTGTTACTGCCTTCCAAGTGTCATACTGGGAAGTTACACCCCCATTTTAATGATGTTTCATGGCCCTAAATAATTCTGGAAAGCCTTTTTTAGAGCTTCCTTCAGAATAGTTTACAAATGAACCAGAAAAATGGGCTTATTGTTCTCTCTATAGGCATACTTCCTAAATCCCAAAAGCTAAGGAACTATCTGTAATGTTAAGTTGTTGTAGGGTTTATACTAACTTCCTTTTATGAGTTTGACCTCCCAACGTATACAGTGAGATCACTTCTGTAAGAAAACAAGCAAGTATGTGGGGAGGAAGAAAGCTAAGTCATCGGATTCTTCATCAAGGAATGAGGACATATTCTTTTGACAAAGAACAAGCCAACTCGGGAAACCCAGAGGCAGAAGAAATTCTTGGACAATCAGGAGAGATTTTTTTTTAACAGACAGCCAATAAATCTTAGGAGACACAACAAATTTCTCACAGAAAAAAAAAAAAAGGAATGAAGTTATATCCACCAGTTTTTAAGAGCAGTGGGAAGCATGGTGGGGAGAGGTCAGGATTCTCTCTCTGAGCCCTACTTTTCTCATATGTAAAATGGAGACACATACACCAGGAGTTTCGTGGGGTTTTATTAATGGAGCTCTGACTTTCAGCACCTGCTCCAATTTCTCTTGCCTCACACCTTTTCTTTGGGTTAAAGAACAGGAAACTCTAGAGGGAGCAAGGGTGAAGGGGCAACCCTCCAGGAGCTTTCAGGCTTCCCTGACTTCAGCTTTCTTAGCTCTGCAGTGCCAAGGCACAGAGAAGAGAATGCCTGGCTGCTTTCTCAGCCTCTCTGAGGAGGGCTGGGGCCAGTAGCCGGGCCTTTGGTTCAACAGACATTCCCAGAGCATCCTGTCATTTAAGGAAAGCAGCAGCCCATTTAAGTCCCTGAATCTTCTCAAGAAATGGAAGCAAACTCAACGCCTAAGAGCAGGAGACTGGTTGAACTGTGAGACATAATACCTAAAGGCACAGTCACATAATGGAACTGTAACTGAAGAACAACATTAAATGACATGTTCATAATAAATTAAGTAAACACTGCCACAAAACAGTGTATATGCTACGGGTTCCTGTCTTTTTTAAATAATTGATTTATAGGGAAGAAAATAGAAGGAAATAAAAATTGTTAACAATAAATTCTGAGTGGTAGGATTACGGATGTTTTAAATTTTTTTTCTAAGCCTCATACACTAAACAATATTTTTAATACAAAGTATAATATGTAAATACGATATAGCATTTGAAAAACAACTCTACGGGTAAAAATTCTGACTGCTTTCTTCACTACCACAGGAAAACAAGCATTTAAAAAAAGGTAGTTTTTTTCCTGAGCAGCTGGATAAAGAATTTGTAAAAGGAAAAAGTGCCTCTTTTGACTTTCTGCAAGTTTCCTCCTCTTTTCCTTAGTCCTACACTTTAAAGGGTTTTTTTTTTAATCCTCCCTCCCCAGAATTGAAAGTGGAAAAAATCTACCTGGTTCAGTGTTGCCATGTACAGGAGGGAAATTTCATATAGTTCAGGCTTCCCAATACTAGAGGCTCCTGGCCCTAGAGTGGGTCTGTACTCTCTTCAGCATTCACATCCTGACAGTCACCTCTGTGAGTGGCAGCAAGATAACTAAGGAAATTCCTGTCCTATACTCTCTTCAGGAGGCCAGGTCTCCACCTGAGCAGACAGCAGGAAAGGGGAGGAAAGTACAAGGCCCAGACTTTCTTGACGTTATCAAAACAAGAGTACCTATAAGTAGTTAAAACACTTTACATCTATTATTACTGCAGTTGTTAAGAACAACTACCACTTCCTGAACACATTCCATGTGTCAGGTACATACTTCATCATCTCATTTAATTTTCACAATGGCCACTTAGCGATTATCCCTGTTTCACAGATAAAGATGCAAGCTGAGGTCAAACGACATGTGAAAGTTCCCAGTGCAAGAAAGGGGCAGATGCAAGGCACTTCAGAAATTGCAAAACTATTTCATAATGGCATCCGTCTTTCTTTGCACTTCTCTGAGATGAGCATTCTATGCTTTAACTTGTGAAATGAAGGGACAGATGGCTTTAAAGTCCCTTCTGAGGTTCTGATCCCTAACAGCATTTCTGGTTTTTGGTTTTAGGGTAGAAGGGTTGTATACTTAATAGGTCAATGGTGGAAGCCAAATACGGGCCTACTACACTAGATTATGGGCAGCAGATTTTAACCTGGCCCTGAAGAAGGTAGGATGTGATGGCAGACTAGATACTAGCAGCAAACAACCACATCATGATGTTAAGACTGTTAAGACAAGGAGACAGTCCTGCACATGAGATATAGGACAATCTAATTATGGAGTTTGCTGGAGAGAAGGAGGGAGCCAAGACATAATAGCCTAGGTCCATAGATGATGTTTTGATGCTTGATGGGCCATCTCAACCCTACTTGCAAAGGCTAGGGACTCTGTGTAAACAGCTGTGAAATTACTTTGGCCCAGTATATACGCTATCATAAAATTGTATTTTATTCAAGTCTTGAATAAGACAATCTGCTACTAATCCTTAAAGTATTAGTGTTAACAAAGGTGTTAATACTGACTTTTTGATATACTCACATAACAGAAAGACAACATGGCTATAACATTCTCTGGCATTTTCACTTCTTATTTGGATGAAAGTGGGACTATGCCAAAAGTTGTTTGAAGGAGTGAACTAAGACACTGAGTTATTTTCATACTATTCATACTGTTTGCTGTATCATAATTAAATTCTCATTATTGGTCTTAATGGAAGTAACATTTCAAATTAGTCATCTTGATTTTTTCTTTAATCGTGCTCTTTTTCGGGGGTGGGGGCTGGTGGGGAGGAGGCAGCAGAAAGGGCAGCCTTTTCCCAGAGTTATGCATTAGCAACCTTGATGCTTGTCCAGGCCCTGCCCTCAACCAGCTAAGTAATTCTTTATAAATCTCTTAAATTTCAGATTCTTCACCTGTACAGTAAGATTCTAAAAGGTAGGTGATGCTTGGTGTTGTTAATGTTCTATGTGACAAGCTAGTGCTCCATGGGTATCCATAACTACAGTAAAACTAAATCCAATGAGCCCTTAAGTCCAGAGTAAGTATCCCTAAATGTCAAATGCTCTAAGACTCTGACCCTTGTGAATGACAATCTTTATCCTCCAGAGTATGGATGGTGGGCACTCTAAGCAGGGAGCTTTGGTGTCATACTGTAGTAGAAAAGCTTTCCCCTCACTCTGTCCTCATCTGGTACAGAGAAAAGGACGTAGATAAATGTATATGATTTGGAAGCTCCCTCCTCCAGTTACTGATCTAAACTCTAGTTAATCATGTACAAGCTGGATTCAACAATCACTAGATGGGGCCTATCAACCTGCTGGAATCTGTCAGGCCTTGGATTTGTGATCTCCCAGAATGAAGGGTCTGCTCTTTGAGATCCTAGGAGGACTTGTTACACTCTAAGAAGGATAAATGAGATATAGAACTAACTGCAAATGCTTAGGTCTTAACATACTCAATGCATAGTGTGTCACAGAATTAAAAATGTGGAAATTATCTTTTCAAATTTTACGTTTATTCTGAGGACCTGCTTGGCGGTCACATACTAACTGGAACTATTGTGAGGATGAAATAGGAAAACTTTGAAAGAGGACACTAAACACTATGTAGGACAGCTTCTTGAAATCAAGAAGGGGAATTTCCCATGTGGTCAGGCAAACATACCATTCCTTATCATCTTTCTCGCCCACCCAAAAGTTCTGACACTAATGCTTCAAAGCCTTGTGTGGTAGTTCAAGCCTACACAGAAGCTTATTGGGTCCCGTGCCAAGAAGCTTCGGGTATTTTCAGAGGTTTCTCTCGCTCAGTAGTTGCGGCTTCCAAATTTATAACTCATTTCACTCCATCCTCCCTTCATCTGTCCTATAAGCTTCAGGTGCATTCCGCGCAGCTCTCTTCTTCCCCTAACCAAAACAGTGTCAGGGAATTGCCTAAGGGGAATCCCTATAAAAGTACTGAGAGAGGGGGCGAGTTGCTGCCCATAAATAGGGCACTTTAAAGGCTTTCGCTTTAATCACCGTTTAAGACTTAAAACCACAAGCAAAGCGGGAGCCTTCCTCTGAGAGGAGTGCCCACCTTCAACCCCAAGTTGCAGCTTCCCAAGAGTAAAGGAAGGCGTCACCTCATCACTTCCAAGATTCCGCCGACACTTCTCTACATTGGCAGGTATTTCCTTGACGACGCAAGAAGCTTTCCAGCACCTCAACCACCTCAGAGCTCCTAAGGTTTTCCTATCGCCCGGGCGACGCTCCCAGCTTTGTTTCCCTACTTCCCTCAGGCCCAAGCCCGCCCACAAGCGTCAAAGCTAGTTCCTCACTGGTCCGAAAGTGTGCTCATTTCCCCAGCGAGCCAATCAGAGCCTCACTTTCTACTCCGGGGTTTGGAAAACGGAAAAGACCTCGACCTGTTCCTGGGACTAGGGCGGGGCCGTGAATGAATGACAGCTCGACCCTTCAATAGTTAAAGCCGTAGGTCCTGCCCCTTCTGGCTCCCGGGCTAGAAAAGAGAGTCGATGCCGGGCAGCAGTGATGAGTCCTGGGAGGCACTGGCTGCTTAGAGGTTCTGAGGAGAGGCGGCTGCTGGTGGCCTTTTTGCAGGTGAGTGGTTTTGCTTTGGAATATTGCTGTTGCTAAGGTTTCCGTCCCTCAGTGATGGGTGGCTTATTTTGGAGTGCGGGAGGGCGGGTTCCTTCACTCCCCCGTTTCAATCTTCGGTGGGAGTCGGGCACTAGCGCGTCAGACCCTCACTTATTTCCCAGGCCCCTCTCAGCTGTCCCTGTCTCAGAAGAAGCCTCTCTGGGTGGTGACATGCCTGTCAGCTGAAAGAGGGGTTCCGTCTTGGTAGTGGTGTCTTTGACGGCAAGAATAAGTAGGAATTGAAGGGAGCGTTGTATTCAACTCCTCTGGACGCCTGAGGCGCGGAGTGACAGAGCCCCTTCAATAGTAGGGCTCCTGGAAGGAAGCTCGGTGTGTTTTCAGGGCCATGCCACTCTATCTAGGGTGATGGCAGACCTGGCCCTAAAAGTCTCAGTAGGTAGGAAAAAACTTGAACGTCATGAAAAGAGAAAGGTGAATATATGCAATGGTTTCATGTAGGGCTCAAACAAGGAGCTAAATCACAGGTTCTTAGAACCACTACAAATGAAAAAGTAAGTGTATTTCTTCTCCTTTCAAAGGAATGGGGGCTGTGGTATTAGGGAAGGACAATAGAAATGCATAACAGAAGTAAAGTTCACAGTTTCGTTTTGAAGAATAATTGGTTGTTAGCTAACTTATTGTAACTCTCATTCCCCTACCTCCTCCCTTCCAAACTGTGGAGGGTTTATAGCTTGTGCGTGGGACCAGAATGTTGACTGACTGAATGCACACTTTTAGGGAAAAAATAATCAAGTTCTATCTTTCACCAGCAGCTACTAAGGTTTTCTATAATGAAAGCAGAACACGTGTCTCCCCTGAGTCCAGGGGACTAGGTTTTATCCAATTTTGTATTCCTGTAGCACCACACACATCATAGATGCCACTCAGTTGTGGTGGACCTTAGAGAAGCGTAGTTCAAACAAATGGTGTCGTGGAAGGAGCTCTGTGTTGGAAGTCAAGACATCTAGATTTTAGTCATGAAGCTATTTGTGTGATCTTAAACCATTTTAATTCTCTGACTCCTAATGTTTGCATCTTTAGAAAGCAGATGTTGGACTACATTATTTCCAAGATCCATGCCTGTGTTCAAAGTCTGTTTTAAAATAAAGATCCTTTAGACACTTGCCACCACAAGTACATCAGCAAAATCTTATTGCAGTAAATTCCTAACCAATCTGTTAGTAAATAAAAGTTCCCAGCTACAAGGGTAGTACCTGTCCTTTTGCGTCCATATTTAAACCAAACCAAATGGATCATTGTAGAAAATTTGGCTAGTGTCCAGAATGACCGTTGTACAGAAGTGTAACGTGGCAGAAAAAGTCATCCTTTATGCTGTCACTCAGAGGCAGCCGCTGCTGGCGTTTGGGTAGATCTTTCAGTCTCTCTTCCTCTTTTTCCTTCTACAGTTGGTTGAGATGAAGTGGCACATTTCATTTTAAGTGATGACATTTAAATTCAGCCATGCCTTCTTCTTTGTGGGTCTGATGCCTGGAGAACAGAGGACACACAAATGTCTGAGCCATGATAGGTCTTGAACATCCTTGAAATGAAATCGGGTGTGAAGGGATATTTATAGGGGCAATAGGACTAAGAGTATCACTTGATAACAAAACTCTCTCATTGAAATGTGGCCATAAATAGGGGAAAAAAACACACTTTATAAAGTGTGAAATAAATGTTAGCCACTTCACCGAAGCATTTGGATTGTAGAATATCACTTAGTATTTGGAATGCTTCTAGGACTATATCTTACCATCAACACCCTGCCATGAAACACACCCACAACATTTGATTACATTCCTCCTTCCTCCACCTAATTTAACCTTTTCTCTTTACCCACCCTCATTTTACTTTATTCCCAGCTTTTGCTTCTACTCATATCATTAGCAGGGTAGGATCATTTTCAATGGCCTGAGGTCTGTGTCAGTCTTCATGTGTTAGTCAAAGTCTGCTCCCTTCAACTCAGAATACCTCTCACTCTTTGGTAGAGGGCTTCCCCATAATCTCCTTTAGTCTTCCTGATAGCCCCTCGAGAACAGTAGTTGCATTATCATCATCTTTATGGATAAGGAACCTGAGGTCCAACAGATAATTTAAATAACTTGGTCAAGATGACAGTAAGAGCTGGGACTAATGAATGGCTGGGTTTCTTGACTTCACACTTTTGAGTTTTGGTGGAAACAGTCTGTGTTGACAAAAGCTACTACTGTGGCGGAATGAGTAACCAGAGATAGGAAGGTAGGTGTCATGAGTGGGTGTTGTGCACATCAGTGATGCCATGCAGGCTGAAACAAGCCACATGCCCCAGGCACACACACACATCTCATTACACATGTATATCTCTTCCCTGTGAATAGGGGTCTACCTGCTATGGTTTATTACCTTTGTAACAAATGGTCGGTAGCAGCTGTTAGTAGGTATAAAGTTGAAGAATGCAGGGTCTGGAAAACACCTGTAAGTAATAGCATTTGCTTCTGGTAAAGAGATGTCCTTATAATGCAAATACAAATGGAAAAGTTACCGTAAAGCTTTAGGAACAGTAATAGTTGATGGAACAGTAGGTAGTTTTAGGTACAGCCATGTTTGGACTTTTAATATTGAGCTGGATTTGGGGAAAGGCATATTTTAAGACTAAAGACCTGAGCTCCGGATTTCATTTCCCTTAAAAACTGTTCCTTTTTAATTTATCAGAAACATAGTTAACCTCTTTTTCTTATATCCTCAAATATAGCCAGCCTATCTTCTATAGAGTTACAGCCCCAATGCAGTGGATGTTAAGAGATGTTCAGAGCTATGCAGTGAAGATTTGGACCAGGGAAAAAGCCAAGTAGTCTGGGGTAGCATTTGAATGTTTAACATTTAAGAGTACACTTTGGATCAAAGCAACTCTGGCTCTCTATTTCTTATTTTCTATTACTTCAACATTCTATCATTGATCACATTTCTTACTCCATTTTTGGAAACAGAATACAAACTAAATTTTTTGGCTGGTCTTTATCTTATAATTTTCCCCACCTGTTCATGGGTTGCCACACTAGAGTATTAGACATTATTACTTTTCAAACACCTGAGGAAAGAAGGAAGCAATGTCCCAGGAGCAGTAGCATGGAAGACAGGACAAGCCTCAGTTATGGTGGGCAAGGGAGACATGTGTGAAATTATATGGTTTAATGAGGAGCAGCAGGAGTAAGAGGCAGCAGCAAGATTGTTAGCTACATTTGTTGAAACTACCTGGAAATTCTGGAAATATTGTAGAAGTAACCTCAGTAAATGTGATGGCCTGCATGTGTGCCAGGCTTCTTGCCACCTACCTACCCGCTCCATCCATCCCTACCTCATCAAAAGGATGCTAATCTCGAAACATAACTCAATTTTATGATGGCATTTTTGGAAAGAATATTTTTTACCCATAGCCAATTTATATGGAAAAATATGTATATATGTGTATATATATATATATACATCAAAAGGTGTTTGAAAATATGTCACCTGCAAATTGTGTTTTCTTTGAATCACCTATTTGTTCTTTTTTTGCCAAGGCAAGTTGCATAGCACCTATTCATGAGCAAGTGTATATTCACCTGAAGTGTGAAACACTGTGACAGTTTATAAAGATGTCTAATAAAAGTAAAGCATGACAAAATGACATTATATTTTTGAAGTTGGTTAGCAAGGTAAATGATTTTTTCCTCATTGTTCTATCTTGAACCCATTATTTAATAATTCGATGACGCAAATTAAACTGCTCGGACTGATTTAAATGTGCTCAGTATTGTCTTCTGTGAGGTATAAAAACAGTTCTGAATGGGATTCCATTATTCAAGGTATATGCAGTTCTGGCCAAGAATAAAATCAGGTGATTTAATAATGTTGGGATTATCCCGTGACAGGATGCAAAATGCCAATGTGATTAGTAGATCTGAGTAGATTTTAGTAATCCTAGCTAGGCCAGGGATTGGCAAACTAAGGCCTTCTGGCTCACTACCTGTTTTTGTACAGCCTACAAGATGTGAATGGATTTTACGTTTTTCAGTGGTTGAAATAAATCAAAGAATAACAATATTTCATATGCATGAAAATTATATGAAATTCTAATTTCTTTGTCCATACATCAAGTTTCATTGGAACACAGCATTGTTTATGGCTGCTCTCAGCTACAGTGGCAGAATTGAGTGATTGTAACAGAAACCACACAGCTCGCAAAGCCTAAAACAAATTTATTAGTTGACCTTTCACAGAAAATGTTGCCCACATCTGAGCTAAGCTGGAGTGTCTTTCACGTCCATTGCATTCATTCCATCTCAACAGACATTATCCTGGTTCAGGTCTTCATTAGATGTTACCAGAATGGTGGCAAAATCCTCACATATATTCATATCCGTGGTTTTCCCATCTCTTACTCGTAAGTGCTTCATGATCCTCCTAAATTACACATTATTTAACCTTTAATGACGTCCCAATACTTTGATAGAAGAACCTATGTTCTTTGGCACAAGGCCCTTTTGGGGCCACTACTCAGTCTTATCTTTCCAGACTAGACTCCTCCTACTTCCTTGTTATACCCTATACTTAGTTTAGGGTGATCATATAATTTTCCAAATGGGAACTTCAAGTGTGAAAGGGTCCCTATAATAATTATGCTGGGGAAACAGGCCTAAAGCAAGACTGTTCTAGGCAAACCAGTTTGGATGGCTCACCTTTTTCCATAAGCACCTCATCCCTTGCCTCTACTCACTGTTTCTTAAGCTATAATTCCTTTTCTTTTTTCTGTAAATCTAAATCTTAAACATGTTTTCAAATCCAGCTTAAATAGTGCCATGTCCTTTGGAGCCATATTCAAGACAAATCTCCGCTTTCCCATCTCCCTCATAAATGAAGTGCTTTCTCATGGTGTGAATTACTTTCTGCTTTAATGACATATACATGTCACCTTTCCCCCATTAGGCCCTTGGAGACATAAC